GTACACAAGGCCAAGTCAGGGTTGGATTCCCGGTTTGTGGTTTACAATGAAGATCACCACCCAACCACCTAGTGGTGTATTGTCCCCGGCACTATTGCCGTGCTGTTGTGGACACATGGTGTGATCCTCAGGTAGAAGAGTATTGGCAGTCCCAGACAGTGTCAAGGCTGCCACACACTGTTACTGCCAAGTATTCCTGGGGCGTCTCACCCCAGGCGCTTCTCCCCAAAGGCACGGTTTTCCTGAAACGAAAAAGCAGTTCCTGAAAGGCAGGACAATCATATCATACAGATCCTCCCTGCTGAGCAAATTGCTGGCAGCGGCCTCGCTGGCAATCACCTCCATGCTTGAGTCTTTGTGGCCAAACGCGCCCGGGCTACAGTCTATGCCAAAGCTGTGGGGGCTTTTGCATCAGTTTCTGCGGGAGGCCTTTGTTGAACTTGAACTTTGTGAATGGAATGATGATCTTCTTTATCTCGGTCGACATTGTAAAAAAGCAAGCGCATTTGGGCAAACCAGGAGCCAAGCGCACGACCTCTTTCAAAGTGATCAATATATTCGATTTGGAATGCACTATTCAAGCCAGTTTTGAGACGGGCATTTTTACTGCCGCTGGCGGATGCTGGGTTCAGCACCAGGGCACTTGCATAGGAAATCAAATTTCCCCTGTGCTCAGCAACCTGCCTGCTTTACTAAGTGAACACGAGTGGCGTGCAAGGGCCAACTCTTCCTGTGTGCGGATGAGTTGTTGTTTTTGCGGTATGTTGACAATCGCCTGATCTTGACACCAAAGTCGGTGCTTCAAGTTCCAGTTGCGCAGGAATTTTGCGCCAACTTTTACAAAGACAGCATACAGCTTGAAAGCGTAGACGACCATAAGTGGCTTGGCTTCGTGATTGACGCCAAATGCTGTACAGCTCAGTTTTGCATGCCCACGAAGCCGTGGCAGCTGCGATCCACCCATAGCGCAGGATCATGGAGATCTGGGTACTTTTCCAGGGCCGCATTAATAAAGAAATATGCTTGGCCACCTTCGGATCAACCCAGGCAGCTGCAACAGCTCCGCCAGCTGTATCTAGCAGCAGGTTTTCCAGCCTCTGAGCCTCACCGACATCCGTGAGTACAAATTCCGGCGTGTGTGTGTGTGTGTGCGTGTGTTTGTCTTCTGTTTGGTGCCTTGTTTTTTGGGTGTGGGGGGAAGAATCATAAGCGCACCACTTTTTAGGTGCTGGTGTCCCTGAGCCATACGGCAGTCGAAGCCGCATGTGTTCTAATGCAAGTGAACCTTTTCACTCAAAACTCAAAAGCCGTTTCAAGTGAGCACACAAGCGCACCTTTTTCCAGGTGCTGGTGTCCTTCAGCCATACGGCAATCGAAGCCGCATGTGTACTAATGCAACTGAGCCATACGGCAGTCGAAGCCGCATGTGCTCTAACGCAAATGAACCTCCTCACTCTGAAACGGTTTCATGTGAGCGTACGTTCACAGTTCCGAAATGTTACCCAAAGGGTGGCAACATTTCTGATCACCTTGTTGTGGAATGCTATGGGGATGTGTTGAATGTTGACGGGGACTGTTTTGTGCCAACTAGCACCTGTTTGTGACCATATTTTGGCCGCAAAGTGGCTGCAAATGAAAAACCACTGCCTCGGAGGGCGTGTTGGAAAAGATGGTCTGCAATCTGCAGACGCATCTATCACTATGTCTGGAATCCGCGGGCATGCAAGCGGCGGCCGCCTGTTCCAGGACCCGTGTCCCAACATGTACGCAGGGATGAAGTGACGGCTGAGCAACGTGCTCATTTGGGCAACTTTGAGCCGCGCAGGGGCCGAAGCCGGTCCAGGCGCCGAAGGCGCCGCCGTAGCCCAGGGGTGATTTTCCACGCAGACCCGTGCAGTTTCGGCCACAGCGAGGTTGCTACCGTATGTTCCGCTGTGCCTGATGCCAGGCCGCCAGGCAAGCTGAGAAGCAGCGCGCCTACTTTTCAGCCACCGGGCAATCTGCAAAGTAGTGTGCCTATAACTGGACCGCCCGGAAATTTTGAAAGCGGTGTGCCAACTACTCGGCCACCAGGCGATCTGCGCAGCCTAGCTGGTGGAGCAGCTGCGGTGCCTTCGCAACCTAGGCCTCTTCGTCCCACGTTGCTCACAAGGCAAAGGCATGCTTTGCACATGAGCATGCCACAAGGGCCAGATAGCAATGAGCCTAAAGTGCCGCACAGCGTGTATATGTGCGTCGCCGCAATGGCGGCCGAACCTTGTAACTCCGCAACTGGCCCAAAGGGCACCTGATGTTCCGTCGAGGTCGCACACTGTTTCAAAGGATTGTTTCAAAGCTGGCGGTCAGAGCGCTCCGGCTGCAGCAACTGCAATGGAACGCCCAGGCTTGGACCCTCGATTTGTGTGACGAGGTTGTTCCTCAGGATGCAGACCGTCCCATCACTGCTGAGCAGTTTTTACACCGTCTCAACATGCGACAGAGAGCGTCGCCGCTTTCAATT